AACTTATTGTCTGTAATTGATCATAACTGGCTACATAAAAGACAAACAGACGAAAATGTTCATGTTCGTATTTGTGTTTGTTATATCACATAATATCACACATTTATATATCACACACATCTTAACGTGGCTTATCCACCTTAGTACACTAAAAATATCTATAAGTCAATATGTTTTACAGACAATAAGTTAAAACTTTATTATGTGAGAGTAATTCAGCACATACTGCGAATGCTAACACATTTTACAAGATCTCGCAACGTTGCATGACCAAACCGGCTCCAAGTCCATCCCAACTCACCAAATAAAACTCTTAAACTCCGGCATGAATGACGGTGGGCAATAATGCTTTGATTTTCATTGTCTTCATGCTTTGACAGTGACTTGTACCGACTTCAAATAAGCAGGAAAACGAGGTTCAACAGGGCTTTGTTCATGGAAACGTGAGATATTTTTGTAGGACGTAAAACCAAAATCATTAACTTCTTCTTTTCCTTATACAGTTTTAGGTACAGGTATGCAATTTCAATAATCTACCTTTAAAACTTTAACTTCTTATATTTTAGGATCCACAAAACATGCTACTACCAAGTCTTTTGGGGATAGGTTGATTCAAACTGGTTAAAGAAGAAGCAATAAATATTAAATTTGATCAATGTAATATTTATTTAAAAGTCTCCATAAAGACATCACTGTTTCTTGTTTACTGCAGGACTGTTGGGGGTTCTCGTTCTCACATTTTGTCACTTTACTTCCTGTTTCATTTTGTAGTATCACTTCTTGTCAGGTTTGTTTTTCTGCTCCTTTGTCACACCTGGTTTCGTTTGTAATCAGAAAACTTGTTCCTGATGTTGAGATTTATTTCTGTGTGCACAGACCAGGACTTCCTTTGTTTGGTTCCTTGTGCCTTGTTTTAATTTCTGCTTTTCACACTTTCACTTGGTTTTGTTCACTTGTTGCTTATCTTGTCTGTGCAGCGTTGTTCGTGTGGCTGTGGAATAAAAGACGCTTCCCTCTGAACATTTCTCTGCTTTTGGGTCCTTGACTCTTTAGCTCACCTGGTTTTGTGGCAAAACATCTAATTGCACAAATGAATAAATGTAATTTATCAGCGGGGTACAAAAGTTTGATTCTACATGAAGCATTTGTCATACTTGTAAACTCTTAAGTATCATTTGTAATATTCATTGCAATATTGTAGGATTTTTCACTATTGCTAAATCACCAACAAAACAGATCTTTATTGTTCACATGAATCCTAAAAGTCAGAGTTTTCTTATCCTTTGTCCTTCCAGGGAAGCAGTATTTAGATGGTGGTAATGGTTTTTGTTTGTCAATGATCAACCTGCAATCTTCAGCAAAGTCAAGATCTCTGAGCAACAAAAGTCCTGGGGAGCGTTTGCAGTAGGAATGTGACAACATGTAGCATCTTTAAATCTTTGCTCAAGAAGGAAAACAAGGTCATAGATATAATTTGAGCTAGCAAGATAATAGAAACAAGGTAAAACCACAAATCATCTGGTTTAGATGGTCCTTGTAGCCCTTGAGACATGTGTGACTGTTTAGGCTTGAGTCGATTTCAGTTTTATAATGGTTCAAAATAAAACTTTATTGTGACTTTGTACCATTTTTACATCAGAATGTTATTTATATGGATCTGTATGAATACTCACACTGAATATGAGTTGTTTAAATTGATGTGGCTACAACCCGAGGAAGAAAAAAATAAACCATGTCACTTTAACATACACAGTAGTACATATAATAACACTGTTAATGTGCAATAATAGTTAGGCCCCAAAACATTCAAGTGAGAAAAGTTGTGCAGTATTACAATTGCAATAAATTTAAAATATAATAAATAAATAAATAAAAAATAGGTACTGTATTCATTATTCTATAAATTTTGTTTCGTACAAAATCTATGAATTCTACATTGTGTTGATACTGTGTGGCCCTTAAGTGTAAAACCCAACAACACATCTTAGTAAAACACAACAAAATATGTTATTGTTGAATTCACAGTTGCTGTTTACTCTTGTTTTCTAATTACATATAAAAAAATGAAGGAAATCAAACAAACAAGCTCCAAGTTAAAGTTATTAAACTAAACTAATTACAAAAACTAAAAATGTTTTTGTTCTTTAAAAAAATCCACTTTATTTAATTTTGAATTAAAGTGTTTTCCACAGACACAGGCTAACACTGGTGCAGTGCTGTTATCGTCCTGCAGGGGGCAGCAACACACGAATTGTCCAACGAAGAAGAAGGCCGCCGCGTGTACTTCCGGGTTTATGCTGACGCGTCCCTCTTCTTCTCGTTCACCGACGTGTCAGACTTCTTTTTGTCCGGAGCTGAGCAGCACACCGCCGTCTCTCCGCAGAAATGCCCGCCAAAGGAAGCAGCAAGCAGCAGTCGGAGGAAGACCTTCTCCTCCAGGACTTCAGCAGGAACTTGTCCGCGAAGTCCACAGCTTTGTTTTATGGAAATGCGCTCATCGTCTCTGCCATCCCCATCTGTGAGTACCAGACTTCTGCTAGCTGCTGGGCTAACACTGGCTCATGAAGGAAAGCCATAAAGTGCATCTATTTTACTGTTAACATGCTGACATTTAATGTTTTGGTGGCATCGAAAGCAAAAAACAAATGGTAATGTACTTTGCAGAAAGTTGAGCTGCATGTGTGGCAACTTGAACATTTAGTAAATAGTGCACTGAGTTTGTCCTCATCAGTCTAAAAATAAAATATAGCTCTGTAGGTCGATTAAAACCATGTAGGCATTGTTCTTATGATTCACTGACATCCACTAAATCAATTATTCACACCTGTAAACAACATATTAACTAAAAAGACTCAGATTGGCAGCAGTTTGCTGTATTTTTACTTTATTTCTATTATTAGTTTAATTAGTATATTCTGGATGGTGGTATGAAATTGAATCAGCTTTAAGTCATTACTGTAAGAAATCATCACTTTTGAAGCAATAATGTTTTAACGCATTGAAAAGTAATTTTAATTAAAGTTCAGGTCAGTCATTTAAACTTGTGTTCTGATCTGTGGCATGTGGTTGTTTTAATTTTTATAGGGTTGTTTTGGAGGATTTGGCACATGGACCTCGTCCAGTCTGCAGTCCTGTACGCTGTAATGACGCTGGTCAGCACCTACCTGGTCGCGTTCGCCTACAAGAACGTCAAGTTTGTGCTCAAACACAAGTGAGAATAAATATTAACGCGTTTCCTGGGTTTGCATTCAGGATGGACGATGTGCACGCATCTTGTCTGTAACTGTCCATTAACCGCTGTATCTGGTGACGCAACAATTTATTTTAGATTTTCAGAACTGAAGTGCTTCAAAGCAAACTGTTTTAATTTTACACATGCTGAATGTCTTCTAGAGTCGCCCAGAAACGTGAGGATGCTGTCTCCAAAGAGGTGACCAGGAAGCTGTCTGAAGCAGACAACCGCAAGATGTCACGGAAGGAGAAAGACGAGAGGTGACGCACGGAGTAGTAGACGTATCGTAGTATTCTGTTTGAAAGTATAATGCAGCCAGTCTGTGTACTCTGGTGGTGAAAGAGTGTTTCTCTCGTGTCACCAGAATCCTGTGGAAGAAGAACGAGGTCGCTGACTATGAGGCTACCACCTTCTCCATCTTCTACAACAACACTCTGTTCCTGGTCCTCGTCATCATCTCCTCCTTCTTCTTGCTCAAGAACTTTAACTCCACTGTGTATCCTTTAAGTTGTTTATTCAGCACAACGCAGACCAAGTTGAGTTTTTAAAAATATCTCATTTTTGAGTCCCACATTTAAAACACCATAAAGTTTCACACCATTCGTTCGACCCACACAATCTGAATTTGAAGGCAAATATTTTTATTTTTCATTTAAATTGGCTGAGTGACAAGTTGCTAAAACAAAAGACTGATCTGCTTTGTAGATCGTCGGTTCTTGTGCAAATTAAAGTTCATGATTCATTGAATGGTAGAAAGATCAACTTTCATGTCTGGGTTTTAACCAGTCTTGTTTTAAAAAGAAAATAGTTGCACTCAGTTGGCAGATCTCGTGCTCCGTTAGCACTTGATGTGTTGGGACTAAATGACAGCTACTGCCACATTAACAGCTCCGTGTTAGTAAAATTTCATGCTTTAGGCTTTTTCGTTCATGTTGTGGCCATGTCTGTTGATTTTAAAAGTTTACTTGTAGATTAGGAATGTGCATAAATTTCATATCACGATATGTATTGTGAAGGGTGGCGATAACGATATATATCGCGATATGTTATGTATATGTATATATACATGTATAGAGTTTTTAAATAATAAACAAATCAAGTATTAGGCTTCTTTCTTGTAGTGCAAAACAGTGCAAAATATATAAAATCTAGTTTGAGCCATATGTTTTAAAGAAAAGAATATGTTGTTAACTCTTAACAGTTTCCAGTCTCACTTAAGAAATGAACATTTTACACTGAAACACTTCACCCTCCAACCCTCTAGTGGGCGTCTCCTTCCGCTTTAATGGAGCGCTGACACAAAATGGCGACCAGTTTCCTCTGGCTTTGACCACAGGGTCTCGCAGTAAAATCACACAACACAGCGTTCTTTTCACAGATCAGAGAGCAGGTTTAATCCTTTTTCTTTTTTTGGCTCAAATGCACACTCTAAAGCTGACCAACGAACTTATGACAAAAAAACAACTTTGGACGGAACACAGCATTTTGCGCATGCGTCCGAATAAGAGTACGGCAAGCCGGGCGTTGTTAGCTTGTAGCTTTGCTACTTAGCTCTCGAAGAAAAGACTTGAACTTGCGCACAGTTTTCAACTACAAATAAGTAACGATTAAACTGACAACTCTGGTTTTACATCAGACACAGCGTTACTGCGTTTAGCTGGTAGAAGACAGATCTCTATCGTTTCTACCGTGTACCGTTTATATCGCACGTTCCTACTCTCGGCTACTACCACACCAAATTTGATCCTCTGTAAATGTGACTGGATCAAAGCCATTTTCACTGGTTGCACACGTCGGTCAGCTGTGGGTCCACCTTGAACTGGGATAACTCCAAAGTTGAATCAGTTGCAGATGTATAGCCAAAGATGACTTTGAGATTTTCATTAAGATCCCTCTGGTGGTTCATGAGTTTGCTAATGACACACAAACACGTGCGAAACTTACCCAGCACACCTTTTGGCAGCGGGAAATAAATGAGTCATTTAATCTAAATTAATCGATTAAGATGAATTAAAATTAATCTTAATTTAAATTTATCGCAGGAGAGCGAGCTCAGGAAGAGCAACTTCTCATTTTTGTTGAAACAACGTTCATTTAGACAGGATTAATTTTTTTTATTATTTTGAGTAGTCGCCTTTTCCCAATATTTTCTTTTATGGTTTGATTAAGAATCAGTTTATGATCCTGTGATAAAGTCAAGATCATTAAAACACCTTTAACTCTGAACTGATTTTAAAAAACAAACATGGGGATCTGGTCCTTTCTGGTTCATTAAGTCGCCTCAGACTTTAGTTTGTTTTTGCTGCCGTTTGTTTATTACGTGTCGCAGTGCTCGTCTTCATACGTTGCCATTTGTCATCGAGTTTTGTTGTTGTCCTTAACCATTTGTTTTCCAGCAACTACATTCTGTCCATCAGTGCCTCTTCAGGACTCATTGCTCTGCTATCCACCGGCTCAAAGTGAAACCGAAGAAAGTAATTTGATTTGAAGGGGTGGGACAGAGCTGGAGGGTCGTAAAAAGTCCACAGCGTAATGTTTTTCATTCGTTAGGAAAGAGGGTTTATTGTGGAATTGGAATGTCACATTTCATGATCAAATGTCTGGAGGCTGTCTCCAGGTCAGCCTGTACTTTTTATAACTAATAAAACAACCAGGTTTGCTTGTTAAGTGACTGTGTGCATTTTTCCGTCTGATTCAGAACATTTCTCAAAAACTAATTCTGACTAGAGAATTGGCATTTTCTGTGAAAATGCAGTGTGAATGCTTATTGCTGAAGAACTTGTTGAAAAACAGCTGAAATTAGCTAAAAACATGCAATGTAGCTGAAATGGGAGAACAAGCCTAAATTAGCAGAAGCAGAAGGAACACATTTGCTGAATTAAATCTAAATAAGCAGAAATGAGCAAAAAAAAATAGGAAATTTGCTAAAAAAAAAAAAAAAAAAAAGAAGCTGAAATTAGCAAAAGATGGCTGAAAAAGCAGAAAGAAGGATATACAGTACCAGAAGGAAGTGGAAAGAGCTGAAATTGGCACCAAAATGTGGGATTGGCTGAGATGCTAAAATTAGCATCCAAACAGCTAAATAGTAGACGAAATAGAAAAAAAGCTGAAATTAGAAGAAAAAAGTTAAGCTGAAAGTAGCAAAAATTACCATGAAAATTTGAATTTATCTGAAATAAGCTAAAAATGCTAAAACGTACAAGCCAAAATTTAGCAGACGCAAAAACAACACGTTTGCCCAATTAAGTTGAAAGAAGCAGAAATGAACAAAAAAAGTGGAAATAATCTGAAAAAAGCTGAAATTTGCAAAAAAAAAAAAAACTGTTGAAAAGTAGCTAAAAAGCACCAAAGTAAATTACCACCAGGAAGTGGAGAGAGAACGTTTTAGCTGAATTGGGCTGACAAAAGCTTAAACGAGAGTAAAAAATGTGGAATTGGCTGCAAAAGATAAAATTAGCATAAAAGCAGCTAAAAAGCTGAAATGGATATTGCAGAAATTACCTGGAAGGATCATGATACCAGTAGAGAACAAAAATCAGCAGAAAGAACTTAGAAACACAAAAATGTTGTAGTTAGCAGAAAGGATCACATAACAGTTGAAAGTAGCTAAAACAATTTTACCATAAATTTGCACAAGGAAGCTGAAGCAGAACAAAATGAAAAGAGCAGTAAAAGGTCAACGGAGCTAAAGATTTGAAGGATGGAAAATGAGCTCAATTCATTTTCTACGAGAGAAAACGTAGCAGAAAAGGCTAAATATTTCAAAAAGCTAAAGTTGTATCAAGTCACAGCAGGATTGTTCTGAAAGAGCTGAACGTTTTGATGATTTGTTTGAAAACTGCAAGACAAGAATCGCTTCAGTGGAGTGAATTCATAAACATTCACACAATAACTTTATGTTTAACTTAAGAGATCGGACGTTTCCATTTATTCCAAATCACACGTTCATATAATTATTTACAAAGATATCACTCTGCAGGAAAGAGACACTGGTGCTTTTCACGTCACAGAGAGGAAACAAGTCATTCATCAGCAGCAAAATTAACATGTTGACGGGTTTAGTTGGGTTCATATAAAATTTATTTAGATTTGACTCAGTTGAAATGGAATATTATGAATTGTTTCTGCAGACAAGTCCAGACATTTTCTTACAGCAGGCAGACATTTTTAATGACACCAATAATAACTGGGGTTTTCTTAAACTCCAGAATTTGCAGAGCAACGCTGCAGCTTTGCTTATTTTGCTGATTCTTTGTGGAGCAGCCGTTTACAGTGAAGCGCATCAAACCGTACAGATTAATTGTTTTGAAGCAACCAATATCTTAATCGGCAAACACAGTCCCTCGTGTCTTCAGTTCCTCTCTGCTCACCCCAGCTGTCTGCACACTTCCCTGTAGGTTAAAAACTAAAGATTGTTTTGTTTTAAACTCACTGACGCATCGATGCACGTCAGACGCGAACAGCCAGGAGGACACAGAGCGCTTCAGGTCTGGGCATGAGTTTCTTTTAAAATATCTAGTTTGAGCATGAAAACAACAGTTTTATAAGTGTGTTCTTATAAACCTCTGAGTGTGATCCCTGGATGAAAGCTGTTTTTTGTTGTTGTAAAGTGGGGAAAAGTGAAGCAAGCAAGAATGGAGGTTAAATGTTTGATTTGAGATCATTTTCTCTTGAGAACTACTATTTGAAGAAAGTGAAGTCAGGTCTTGAACGGTTTCTTGGTGCTGAAACGCTTCGTCTTTCATCCAAAGGACTTCATCAGGCCGAGGAGCCACAACAAACTCAGTCCCAGAAGCAGAACACTCACATAGTGGGCCAACCAGTTTGATGGTGATAAGATGGTTTCTGGAGTCTGCCCTCTCTCCCGTCGACTCCTCTGAGGCAGCCATAGTCAAAGTGGTTCCAAACCTCAAAGTTCATGCGCGATAATCCAGGTAGAAAATCCAACAAAGTTAAGTCCAGAGGACCTGGAACTTGTAACATAAAACATACAATTAATCTAATCTAAAGTTTGTGTTCGGCACCAATGCTCCTCTTTTTCTTCCCTGAATGTGTTTCCTTAGCAGAAGTCAAGGCGCTGCACCGCGGCCTCCATCTGATGGGCACCATGTGGACGTGCACTCAAAAAACACGTTTTGCACCACATGTCAGAGTGAAGCAAAATTAAACATTCACTCTGTGCCAATTCCATTTTGTTTCCATCAGCAGGATGATACTGTTTCTTTTTATTCTTTGTATTTCTGCTATTTTTGGGTGTAACTGGGACCCTGAGTACACAGTTTCATTCCACCTCATGTACCACATGTGATGGAAATGACAATAAAGAACCTTGAACAGAAGATGGTTTTAGGTAAATGTCCAGTTTGCATTACAAAGTGATGGAAATCAACTGGAAAATACTCATTGACAAAACAAAGATGACCACCCAGAAGGAATGTTTGGTCCACTTGCACACCAGTGACATGTTTGCAAATTATTTGATTTGAAAGAATCTGGCACATCTAGAACAAACACCAGAGGGGTTAAAAGTAGTGGCCTCATGAGTGGGGTGATGGTGTTATCTGGCAGTTGCTGTAGTCTGGAGGGCTCTTAGGAGGGTGGTGAGACCAGCAGAGGATCACCTAGGTGCTGGTCATAAAATTAGAACATCATGAAAAAATTGATTTATTTCAGTAATTCCATTCAAAAAGTGAAACTTGTATATTATATTCATTCATTACGCACAGACTGATATATTTCAAATGTTTATTTCTTTTAATGTTGATGATTACAACAGACAACTAATGCAAACCCCATATTCTGTATCTCATAAAATTAGAATATTGTGAAAAGGTTCAATATTGAAGACACCTGGTGTCACACTCTAATCAGCTAATTAACTCAAAACGCCTGTAAAGGCCTTTAAATGGTCTCTCAGTCTAGTTCTGTAATCTACACAATCATCGGGAAGACTGATGACTTGACAGTTGTCCAAAAAACAACCGTTGACACCTTGCACAAGGAAGGCAAGACACAAAAGGTCATTGTTAAAGAGGTTGGCTGTTCACAGAGCTCTGTGTCCAAGCACATTAATAGAGAGGCAAAGGGAAGGAAACAATGTGGTAGAAAAAAAGTCTACAAGCAATATGGATAAACGCACCCTGGAGGGGATTGTGAAATGAAACCCATTCAAAATGTGGGGGAGATTCACAAAGAGTGGACTGCAGCTGGAGTCAGTGCTTCAAGAACCACCACGCACAGACGTATGCAAGACAAAGGGTTCAGTTGTCGCATTCCTACTGTCAAGCCCCTCTTGAACAAGAGACAGCTTCAGAAGCCTCTCTCCTGTGTTTGCTGCTGAGTGGTCCAAAGTTATGTTCTCTGATGAAAGTAAAATTTGCATTTTCTTTGGAATTCAAGGTCCCAGAGTCTGGAGGAAGAGAGGAGAGGCACAGAATCCACGTTGCTTGAGGTCCAGTGTCAAGTTTCCACAGTCAGTGATGGTCTGGGGTGCTATGTCTTCTGCTGGTGTTGGTCCACTGTGTTTTCTGAGGTCCAAGGTCAACACAGCATCTACCAGGAAGCTTTAGAGACTTCATGCTTCTTGCTGCTGACCAACTTTAAGGAGATGCAGATTTCATTTTCCAACTTGACTTGGCACCTGCACACAGTGCCAAAGCTACCAGTACCTGGTTTAAGGACCGTGGTATCCCTGTTCTTAATTGGCCAGCAAACTCACCTGACCTTAACCCCATAGAAAATCTATCAAGTATTGTGAAGAGGAAGATGTGATACACCAGACCCAACAATTCAGAAGAGCTGAAGGCCACTATCAGAGCAACCTGGGCTCTCATGACACCTGAGCAGTGCCACAGACTGATCCACTCCATGCCACAACGCAGTGATGCAGTAATCCAGGCAAAAGGAGCCCCAACTAAGTATTGAGTGCTGCACATGCTCATACTTTTCATGCTCATACTTTTCATGTTCATACTTTTCAGTTGGCCAACATTTCTAAAAAGTCTTTTTATTTTATTTTATTGATTTTAAGTAATATTCTAATTTTCTGAGATAATGACTTTGGGATGTTCATTAGTTGTCAGTTGTAGACTCCCAGGACAGGTCAGACGCTGTTGTTTTCGCACTGGAATTGCACGTGAACTAAAAGCCAATATGTACTCCTGTAACTGATGCAAAGAAATGACACAACATTTCATTCAGTTTTGCACGGTGAGCTGTACAATTTTGAATGACATTAAAACGACTGAACTGAACTGAGTGTTTGACAGTCAGTCAAAACAGAGGTTGAAGGTCACGAGACACAGAGGAGGCCTCAAAATGATATGTCATAAAGATAAATCTTGAAACTCCAAAGAGTGACACTGATCAGAACAAACCAAAAAGTAGAGTAGTAAAACATCAAACACCCCGGTAAGAATCTGGTACTGGGTGAGTAACTGGCTACATTTTGTATTACTACCAAAAGTGATAAAAACATTTGACAGAGCACACTAATAATGAAGTTGAAGCTCTACTTGAGCTAAATGCTAGTGAGTAGCAGTGAACCTTAGCATGCATTAACGTTTTCTAGACCCTGAGGAACTCCTAAATTATGAGCAGTAACTGCAAAAGTTTGTTCACCCCTACTTTTACGTTACGATCCTGGAGCATCTGAGCATCTGGTTGTTTGACCTCGATATTCAAGAGGAAGAATGGTAAGGAAGGAGGACTGGGAAAAAATGCACCATTAAGAGCTTAAAAACCAGCAACAAAGGCTTAAAATGAGACTGAACGGGAAACAAGCGGATACTTTGGCAGCACAGATTAAATGGTTTCATGTTTAAGGATCATAATAAAATATAAATGCTGCTGCCAGAGTCTTTACTGGAGTTAGTGGGAGAGATCATCTCTCTCCAGTTTTAGTTTCTCTCCATTGGCTCCCTGTCAAGTCCAGAAATGAATTCAAAATCCTACTTCTAACCTACAAAGCTCTCAACAACCTAGCTCCATCTTATATTACAGATCTTATTGTTCCATATTTTCCAAACAGGGCACTTTGCTCTCAGACTGCAGGTTTACTTGTGGTTCCTAGAGTTTCCAAAGGCAGAATGGGAGGAAGATCTTTCAGTTATCAGGCTCCTCTCTTGTGGAACCAACTTCCAGTTTCTGTCCATGAGGCTGACACATTGTCCAGGTTGAAGACTGGACTTAAGACTTTCTTTTTTGATAAATCCTATAGTTAGGGTCAGATTGTTATGCTGCCATAGGCTTAGACTACTGGAGGACAAACTGACCACATTTCCTCACTCTGCTGTCTTTACTTACTCTACCTGTTTGTATTTGTAATTATTTCTGTCTTAACATGTTTTTTGTCTTTCTTCAAAAAGAAAACACATCTGGACCTGTCAGTCTGTGTCTGTCTCTCCTTCCTGTTCCTCTCAAACCAGCCGGTCGAAGCAGACGGCCGCTCGTCCTGAGCCTGGATCTGCTGGAGGTTTCTTCCTGTTAAAAGCAAGTTTTTCCTTTCCACTGTTGCCTTTGTGCTTGCTCAGGATGGAAGACTGCGACGAAGTGAAGATTCAACACAATCTGCTGCTTCCTTAAGATAAATGTTGTTAACTGGCATTTAAAATGTATATGAATGTTTCTGTTCAGTGCCCTGAGACGACCTCTGTTGGAGCTATATAAATGAACTGAACTGATTTTGAGGGTCAACACCCTACAGGAGAGGATACAACAATTGTGCACCACATGGTCTTTCTACACAGGCCTGAGTGTCATGGGACCAGCAGTGTGGCTGTACAGCCAACTCTGTTAGCCATTTAATTTAATTTTGTAAGATTGCAATACTGTCACATGACACACGCAGTTTCATTTAGTTTCCACCACGCCAGGTGGGGTGTTTGACTTCTTTTATTTGTCAGTGAGTGCAGGTGTTGATTTACAGCTCGTTCATTCAGACAGACTTCTTAAAGAGCCAAAAGTTTGTTGTTCTCTTTGTCTCAGTGTATGTAATCATTGGCAGGTGTCAAGATGATTCCAGTTGAAACATAAAGTGTGCAAGTCACCAAACGTGCACCAAAGACAAGACTCAGCTGAAACATGGCCAACATCTCTGCTGAGCTCAGCAATGGCTTATTTTTCCAAATGAAGCACAACGAGAACAAATTAAGACAAAAAAAAAAAAAAAAACACAAACTTGTCAGAACCGGGTCAGCAATAACAAATTAAGATGACGAGTTGACTGAGTAATATTAAAGCTTGTTTCTCACGTCCTTTATTAGAAGATGCTTTTTTTTACAGGAAGAATATTCATAGAGAAATCAGTCGACTTTATCGTGAAGAATCTAAGGAAACCAGCTCACCTTTGTTCTTCATAAATATTTTGTTTATTTTTTTATTTTTACATATTTTTGAAGAGACGAAAAGGAGCACTTTGAGGTTGTCAAGTCAGGATGGGATGAAGTCAGTCAGAAACACCGCAACTTGTGCAGCAATGCTGCAAAGAAACTGTAAAATATCTATTTTTACATCCAATTTATATTTATATTAATTGTACAGCACAGCCTCATTTTCCAACAGAGGCTTTTTCATCATTTCAAGGTAAAGTTTTATATACATGTAACACCTTGAAACCAAAGCAACATTTCAAAAAGACAAATTAAACTCAGATTTCAGGACTACTAAATAATAAATACTATACTTTTAGTCACATCTGAAAACCTCTGTCCAAATGTCAAGCAGCCGTCTGCTTATATTTAAACCAGAACGTTCACTCATACATTAAATATTTCTTTATGGTTCTTGAAATAAATTAGGATGCTGTTACATTTATGAAGCACACAACTATTTGTATGTTTCTAAACTGAATAGTTAGTTTTTGTTCCTTTTATATTTGCAAGGCAACTTTTTTCCCCCGTTTGTGAAGCAGAGTTGAAGTTCTCCAAAATGACCACATGAGGGCGACAAACCCCTTTAGTTTCAGAGTCCCACATTCACTTCATGTCTCAACTCCCTGCTTCATCACATCAGGCAAGCTTCAGGGTTTCAGATCAGAAAAAACATAGGCACACTGTAATGGGGAAACATGCATCTATTGGTTAATCTTCTCCAGTCTGCAGCTAAAATACGGTCTATACTATTAGTACAAATGGAATGGGTTACATTTTCTAAATGTTTTAAAGCTAATTCAAGCTGATGGATTTGTTTAGGCCTCCTTCATATTCATAAAGCTGTTTTCTTAGGTCACCTTGTCAGTGATGATGACCACACTTCACAGGATGAAGTTTCATCCCCTGACTTGCACCTCTGATGAAGGAAGGGAAAGTTTGAAGCTCTTATGGTAATATATTTTGCTCCGCTGCATAGCATAGTAATGAAAGCACTGAGCTCAGCATGCAGCTGAAGCCTCTCTGAGGTCTAACTCCTAAATCTACTGTGCTTATGTTAACATTTTCAGCTGCGGTATGGTGCTTTTCATACCAAGTGCAATTATTTTTCTCCTCAAATTATTTGCAAATTCAGGTTTGGAGCTGAAATAAGTAGGCCCAAGATTTCAGTGTGTTTCTGGGAGGATCAACGAGTAATCAAGGTGCTCTTGAACAAGGCACTTCCATTTGAATAGTCCTGACTGTGATGTCTCTAATCTCCAGGAATGAACTAATGCATGCCTTGCTATCTTCCTGTAGTCTATAGATTTCAGTTTTTGTTATTTAAATATATAAAAATACTCCTCAGATGCCATGTCTGTGATGATGAATTTGAGCTTTGACATGCGCTGCAAAAAGCTCTGCATAGTTTTACGTCTATATTTCTGCATGCTGCTGCTGAATCATCGACGCCTCGGTTCAGGGCAGAGTTTGAATCTACTAAGTTGTGTGAAAAGCTGAAGCTCTTCTTGGCTAAAGCTGGACTGCACCTGAGATGAAAGTGGCCGAGCCGACTGGAGCAGAAGTCTCAAACAGAGAGGTACAGTGTGCAGTCTGGACGTAGCAAGGCTGTCTGGTCAGGCTGAAGTGGTCTGAAGCTGGACGCACCCCCATAGGAGAAAGAAAAAGACGGGGCCATGGGCATGACCCTTCAATCAGTGGGTCCAAGGTTGCAAGATGTTTACGTAGATACCAGTTGACATAATGGTGGTCCACCAGTCTGGTCTAAGAGCGGTAGTCCTTCTTACTGTAGGGTCTGTTGCCCAAGATGTGGTCGATGTCCGACACCACATGAGAAGTCATTTTAGGAAGGACCTGGATAACAAAAACAAGAGAAATGTGCAGGGAAGCAAAAAAATAAAATCCATAGGTAGTTTTTTTAAATTTAAATATGGAAATCAATAGAAAATGGGATAATGCAACATCCGGGTGTTAAAAGCTGGCCTAATCAAACAATCATAGCTTTATGAGCTAATTTAACCATCTTTCCCTGAATAAATATTGTATAAAGCCACAAAATGTTTTTAACTCCATAAAAAATACGTGAAGAATTTAAGGTTAAAAACTACAGTTTGTGCTGCGTTGTATTTAATGCACTGTGTTTAAGTGTTCAGACAAAAAACAACAAGCTTTCTTTAATTATGCAAAAAAACTACAGACCTCTTCATACAAGTAAGGATTCAAATGAGCACTTCAGTTAGAGATAAATAAAACACCAACTTTAGTAAAATAACCTGAAAAAAAAAAAATTAAAATGTAAGGGAAGTCAAGTTCTTTTGCTTAAATTACTTTTAATTTTCCAAACCAAAGACCACATTTTTTATTTATTTAATTACATGGATGCCATGTTTTTTATTAAAAATACAGCTTTATTTATTTATTCATTCATCCATTTCATTTTGCATGCTACAATAAAAAAAAAAGCTGTATGTTTTTACAAAGCAAATTTCTGATAAAAAAAAAAAAAAGAAGATATGTTCGGTAGATTTTTTTTTCCTTGTCAAAAAAATTTGAAAATTCAGTTTCCAAAAAACGTATTGTCAATTTAAATAGGCGTTCCACATTCCTGAGGTTCATGCCAGTTTTATTCAAAAGTGCAAGGAGCCACTGGAGAAGGGCTGAAGATCCACAGGTTGTTTTCAATTAAATGGTAAAAAGAATAAAAGTGGACCTTGTTCAGGCAAATTCAAAACAATGCCAATAAACTATATTTAGCCTAACTAAGCAGGATAAACAGGATGTAACTGATATTGTAGCTGTAAAATGGATTATTCATATTTTCATATTCTCAAACACTAAATTCTTCCTGCAGTCGGTCATTTTATTGTATTTGTTGTGATTGTAAAAGCTCCAAATCCTCAGAGGAGTAGGAACAAATCTGTAGAGTAATGAACACGTCTGTGTTAAGGACATTTTTTTAATACCCTAAACAAACTGAGTTTATTTTTGCTGAATTATCAAAACTAATAAAAGACAAAACTCACAATGATTTGGCTTCATTTATTGTTAGAAGCTGTGGGTGTTTTGATTCTCCTACTTCTTCATATTTTCAAATGTATTCAGGTTAAATAGAAACAAAACAATTTTACTTCTTATACATCAAAATCCAGCCAGCCTTCATATTAGGTCCCTCAGTGGAGTTTAATAAACGGACTGAAAAACAAGCCCTGCCTGGGTCACTTCATGAGCGTCGTTCAAGCGACCTGCTGCCATAGGCCGTGGACAACATGTGTAGTTCACTGTCTGCTAGCAAAATATCTTATGAAACACTGAATGGTGTTTAATGAAACTCAAACAAGGAGTCAGTAAATTTAAGATAGCTGCCACAACTATGATCTACCTGAGCACGCACAACAACCGATATGACTCAAGTCAGCGTTACAGATAATGAGGTCCATTTTGGTGAGAGTCATCAACAAGTCCTAACAGCTCTTTTTTTATCTTTTGACAGGCAATGCTGAGAAAAATGGACATTATTTCAAGGAATGCTGATTTCTCATTTAGTTATGTGATCGGCACTGCTGGATGTTGGATATCAGGCCTACTGCGGACATTTGGTATGGGACATATAGTGTATGGGGTGCTGTCTGTAAAGTGACACAGTTAAAAATTAACAGCAATATTTTGGTTTATTTAGCCTTTAATTAAGAAAAAAATAGATTTTTTTCAGTCATATATTCACCATGTTATTCATACAATTATAAATGTCATAGTTCCTAACTAAATATTTAATTTACAAGCTAAATATTTAGTTTACAAACTAAACCCCTGTGACCCAAAATGGAATAAGCGGGTAAAGATAATGGATGGATGGATGGACTAAATACTTAACTCACAAGTTAAATATTTAGTTAGCAAACTTAATATTTAGTTCCACACTAAATATTTAGTTTACAAACTAAATGTTTATGTCCAAGCTAACATTTTAATTTAAAAACTAAATATTTAACTTGCAAATTAAATATTTAGTTTTGAAATAAAATGTTTAGTTTGGAAAATAAATATTTATGTCCAAGTTAAATATTTAGTTAGAAGTTTAAGTATTTAGCTTAGGAATTAAATGTTTAGCTTTGAAATTAAATGTTTACTTTGGAAATTAACTGTGTAGCTTGGGCAATAAATATTTAGTTTGGAAATTAAATGTTTAGTTTTGAAAATAAATATTTAGCTTGGAAATTCAATATTTAATTTACACCTAAATTTGTAGTTCACTAACTAAATATTTAACTTGCAAGTTAAATATTTAGTTTGTCAATTAAACATTTATCTTGGACATAACCATTTAGTTTATAAGCTAAATATTTTGCGTGGAGCTAAATATTTAGCTTGCTAACTAACTATTTAACTTGCAAGTTAAGAATTTAGTTTGTAAACTAAATATCTAGCTTTTAAATTAAATATTTAGTTTAGAACTATGACATTTATAAATGTATGAATAACATGGTGAAAATATGACTTTGAAAAAAAAAACTTTTTTTTTCTTATGAAAGGCTATAAACCAAAATATTGCAGTTAATTTTTGACTGTGTAACTTTACAAATAGCACAACATAATAGTGTGGGATTTGCAGATAATTCTATGTGTAGCCCATATTTTTTTGTCTCATTCATAGCACATAATGACACCTCGTATAAATACAGTCTGAAAGGGTGTCTAAATCTACAGCATATCCTGCAAAAACTACAAACCACAAATAAAAAAAATAAACCAGCCATCGCCCTTTCTTCCATAAAAAACTGCCTGACTCCAAAAACATTAAGCATAAACAAAGTAATTTAGCCAACTATGCCAAACTCAAGACAGTGTGAAATTTATTCCTTTATTACTAGCAGTGTGACTTGTGCAAGATGTAGATTAAGGAACACAAATAAAACCAGCAGTGTCAGGTGTTTCTGCACGCAGTCACCTGTATGGCCCCAAGGTTCTCTGTGAGCTGATTCGGGTTGGATGTTCCCAGAAGGACTGAACTCACGCCTTCATTTCTTAAACACCATGCTGGAAATGGGGACAACAAACAAAACACAAAACAACTTAAGTGAATTTAATGTCAAACTCCTGATAAAATATTGATTATTCTTGTATTATAACAGACACCAATATATTGTCTAACAAGATGTATAAATGTCAACTTTTCAAGTTTATGAGTAGATTATTTCAAAGCACAAGTAAAAAAATCTACTGGTTATCTTCAACAGGCTCGGGTCAAACAGCTGGGCTGAGTTACAATCTTAGATGCCTCTACGTCAGTACTAAGGATGCACGATATTATCAGCATGGTATCAGCTGATATTAGCGTTAAAGTTCAATTTTGGACATGGGCCATTCCATCAAAATAACTCACTGATATAAAGGGCGCCATTTTTGCACGACAACCAGTGACAAGTATGTCTGCAGTTTTTCGACGTAGCCTTACTCGAGTTACAAGCCGTCATTTCTGACGTCATTGAGAAGCTAATAGCCGATAGCACATGGGTGAGTTTTACCACAAAGATGTGGACGTCGTGTTAGCCCCGTTAGCATGATTAGTCTTACAGAACAATGGATAGACAAAAAACTTTGAACTTAAAAAGTCTGTCCTTCATGCACAGGAGTGCAGATGATCCCACACTGCAGCTGAACCTGGAACAAGCCTCCACAAGTGAGACAGCATTGCAGGTGGCTAAAGCTAATAAACAACATTTAACACTTTTCATTTAATATAAGTTAAAGTGTTATGCATATTTCACCAGCTCTTACAGCTGTTGCACAATTTTTGTAGCAAATAAGCCTAAATAAGAGGTCGATGTTCTGATGTTCTGTATATTAAAAATATCAATATTGGTATCGGTTATCGGCCAAATAAGTTTTAACATATCGGATATCGGCCAAAAATCCAATATCGTGCATCCCTAATCAGTATCCATTACAACGAGGAGCAAAGTCTTACCCACGGCAAGCTGAGGCAGCGTACAGCCAAGCTTCTCTGCAATGTGGTTGAGCTCCTTTAGCTTGGCTTGCTGCTTCCTTCCATCTTCACTTACTATCTTCTCCTTTAACCACTGATAAGACTGGCACAGCAGGAGAGAAAGAACGAGTGTTGAAATGGTGAGACATTTTCAGATATATGAAAAGTGGATGAGAAAGAAAAAGGTTCAGGGTGTTGAAGATGGTTAATTGTACCGTTACAAATGATTGACAGAGGACATTTATATTAAATACTGTACACCAGTAGGCCTATATCTAATTTAATCAATTGCTTCACTAAGAAAACAAACACAAAATGTAATGATTCGCTTCTTCAACGTTGTCTAGGACCACAGGGATATTGTTAAAGTCATATTTTGTATGTATAACGTAATTTTAAAAGTTTGTTATACTTTAGCATGTTAGACCACACCTGCATTTCCTGTATGAGTAGTAATACAAAACAATGATAATTTCATTTATTACTGAGCAGTCTGAGCTGGGAAGCTGTTAAATTGAAAAGGTACTTTAAACAAATGCGTTAGACGTACAGTAGTTGGTTGCTAAGACCCTATTCATGTTATAATGACCACTACAACTCAGAAACCAGCCCGGACATGGATGGTCTTTGCAGGGTCTTGGTGACGTCTTCAGTGGCTTATTAAGAACAAGGTGGTTTCCCTGTTTCACGTGTTTGCGGCATAGGTCATAGAGGGTTTTAAGCATGCACAAACATTTGTAGCTTGCTCATGGTGGCAGTATTTCAAGGTTCTGGGTGAAGCATGGTGGCAGTATAACCATGACACGGGCCCTACATATATCAGTGTGAGTTGGGACCTCATCCCTCTACTAATCTGTGATTGGGACAAAGTCATGCAAACAACCTAGAAGTAGCATCATGCTAGCTTGGTTTGATCTTGTAGCACATAGCTGAACCCTGAAGCAGGTGGTAAGAGTCATGGCAGGGCAGAAGTCAGGGAAAGTGATAATGGTAGTGTCATTGTAAGAACATGCTCTTGATGAATGGAGGGTGCAGTTAGGGCTCAAGACAGCGTGCTGAGCAAAATACCACAGAAAACCTTTTTGGCAATTACAAAGAAAGCAGCAGTGTTTTGCATGGCAAAGGTTAAGCACCAGCATCTTCCTCCACCTTTATTTGCTCTATTTTGGGCCCTTGAGCAAGGCCCCTAACCTCCAACTGTTCCCCTGGATGCCTTAGATGCTAGCCCCCTGCTCCACACATGCAGGCTGCAGTAGCTCGGTGGTCAGCGGTTGTGTCATTAAGGGCATTGGGCATGAAAACAATTGTCAAATTTGAATGTGTTTGCTCGCTGTGGCAGGCCCTGAAGAAAGGGGGCAGCCGAAAACAATAAATAAATAAAAATCAGAGAGCAGCAGTGCCATGAGTGCTATTTCACCCAAGGAGGTTTTCCAAATTTGAGGCAATCTGGACACTCCGATTGGTTGTGTAAGCTGTAAAGAGTGTTATAGAAGGTGTCTTCTTTCAGTGCAAAGGGGGTCAAAGTTTAATTTGACCCCCTTTGTCCCCTTCAATTTAGTATGTTACATATTTTTAATTAGCAACCACATCAGACCAGTATTTAATGGATTGCTCTTCCAGGGGTATATTGTACCATAAGATAATTTTTTACTACATGCGTTACTGCACAATTCAGTTAACTTGGCGTCTTTTAACCATTGTACTGCAACGTGGCATGGTTAAGATGGAAAACTTTCAATGTTGCAGCTCAAATCTTGTCCTGACAAACTGCAACACTCCTGTATAACTGGTATCATGGTGTTGACTCATCATGCAGTCAACACCACGAGGAGAAAAGCTACCAGGTTTTCAGTTATCTTCAAAATTTCGTGTTGAATTAAAATTTAAGTCTAAATAATCCATATAAACCAGGTCCAGTTGTTTCTTTTCTTAGAATCCTGCTTGCTGCTACAATCCATGTTACAGATCATTGCTTTTAGTTGTAGTTACATCATTTTATTGGACGAACCAAAGAGATGACCCTCATGCTTACCTTCAGTGAGGCCCTCGATGATTCTGGGATGCCGTTTTCATATTTTCCTGTGATGATACCACATGCTAGTGGTGACCAAGTCATCGCCCCAACTCCTGTTATAGAAACCAAAAGTTGATGAACAGGATCAGTTTGGATGAGTGTGATGGTAAAACCAGTCCATACACTAACCTCATTGGTTCGCTTTGTTTGTAGTTGAACATGCATTGTGGTCATGTAATTGATTTGCTTTTGCTTCATTCTATCAGTGGGGTTGGGAACCATAGCACTGTGTGTTTTTTTTTAATGTATTTTGTTATAATAATTATATTTCTCCTTTATTGAGTTACTTGGTTTGGGGAGTTGGCTGCTTCCTGGCTGGACAAAGGGTGTGTCCAAGGGCTGAGGACTCTGAAGCACAATGCCAGCTCAGCAGGACCGACCATGTGCTCATCAGCAGGGTTTTAGGTTTAGTTGGATCATTTGGTCCTCAGTTAGTGTTGATGCTTAAATCTGTTTCCCCTGTTATGTGTAAACAGTCTGACCAAATCGCTACACAAGTTCCCATTCTGTGTCTTTGGGGAAGGTCAGTTTTGGTGAGTTAAAGGTGTGTACATCTTGTTGCTCAGTTAACATTTTGTAAATCCCATTTCGAGTAGTAATGTTTACTTGTGGGCAGCACGGTGGCGCAACTGGTAGAGCTGCTGCCTCTCAGTGAGAAGGTCCCTGGTTCAAACCCCGGTCCAAGGGCCCTTCTGGGTGGAGTTTGCATGTTCTCTCCGTGCATGCGTGGGTTTTCTCCGGGTGCTCCGGTTTCCTCCCACAGACCAAAAACATGCATGTTAGGCTGATTGGTAACTCTAAATTGTCCCTAGGTGTGAGTGAGAGAGTGAATGATTGTTTGTCTCGTTTGTCTCTATGTGTCCCTGTGATGGACTTGCGACCCGTCCAGGGTGTACCCTGCCCCTCGCACAGTGATTGCTGGACATGGGCACCAGCGACCCCCGTGACCCAAAATGGAACAAACGGGTAAAGAAAATGGATGGATGGATGGATGTTTACTTGTGGAGTGAAATAAAGACCCACTTCAAAGACATTTTTCCTGTGTCCTCTATGCCTTCATTCATTCTGTGACAATACGTTTAAGGACAAGTTGCAAAATGAACACAATGAAAAAGAACATGGCCTCAGTGAATTACTTCAAAAGCTCATTTAGAATAAAACAAGTCAAAGAAAGTTTTAACTTTTAGGTGTTAGTGAAAACATTTTAGCCCATTCGTGATAGATTTTTTATTAAAGCACACTCAAAGACAAAAAGGACCTACCTATCTTATGGTAAAGTTCAGGCAGTTGCACCTCGACTTTCTCCCTCTGGAAGAGGTGATACTCTGCCTGTTCACACACTGGAGGGATCAAATTAAACTGCCTTGCCACGGAGTAAGCCTCCTGATGATTTAAGAGAGGGGAGAAGGGATGGTCATCATCATGCTAGATGTGATATTTTAACTGTTCTTTCCTATTTCCTGCACATTTTATAGAACTTGAGTCCTCTTATCATAAAGTCAACCTCTGATAGGTCAGAGGACAGATAAAGCCATAAACACAAAATAGAGAAAAATTGGTATTCAAGAAAGCCGGTTGACAGCATTATAAATGCCAGCAAGGCAAAAAGAGAGTGACACAGCTCACACTGAGGATTAATATTCAACATCACTACTTTCTGAGACATCCTTTCCTATACCTTTCAATATGGATTCTTAGCTCTACTGTCCTAATTGAAGCCTTATCTAACCTTAAACACTTGTTCTCGTACCAAACCGCAGCCTAAAAGTCTCCCTCTAAAAACATTTAAACTTGCAGGATCTGTCAGTTTCTTCTTTGCAAAGCTTTCACAATTGATAAGTAGTAGACTCCCATTTTTTCAAACCAATACATTTAAAAGAAGAAAAAACATACACACACACACACAAATCCTCAGTGAGAAAATAGGCTTTTATTTTGTTTCCTGCCATCAGCGAACAGAGAAATAACCCGTTACTCTTCTGTGCTGTAATTAAAGCCTTTGATTGTGTCCATGCATTTTCACATGTAAAGCTGCCATGAAACATACACTTTGAATCCCCCATTTAACCCCTTTCATTACTGATGCAATCTAAATAACAGCTTTCAACAGGCCTTGTGCTGATTAAAGGTATTTTCTTTTGTTTACTGAGCCCATGTGATTGGGTATGGTAACAAAGTGCACCAAACCTTGAAAAAGTGGAAGTAAAGAGAAGGGAAGATGGTTGCTGTGGCCTTGACTGTTACTTCAGGATTGTTTTACTGCAAAATTCGGTTACACTTTACAATAAGGTACACAAAATTAGATTAACTACTAGGGAACGCCTCAGAAACTAATCAGGAACAAATCCGGAGCTAATGGTTAGTTAACCAGTATTTACTGGGGAACACACAGCCAGGCCTTATTAGGGGATTACTGGTTTGTTACCACAGGAACAAACCAGTAAGTAATGGTCAGGTAGTGATTAAGTAATGACTGGTTCCGCACTAAGTACTCAGTATGATGCTTGACTACATCCGTGAACAGAATAATATCCAGGCAATGATTTGATACTCAGTAAGTGATAGTCAGACATAGTTAAGATGACACCAGTACAACATTATGAAATTGATAATGTCTTTCATCAATAGGTTTACAAAAGAGAAAATCCAATAAAATCAGTAATCACTGGGAAACTGGTTTTTGACAATTACGAGCTGTGACCTCACTGGTGCAGGGTCTATTCAGAAACCACATGGAGAATTCCTCCTCTGTTTCTGTGGTAACTAACCAGTAGTCCCCTAATAAGGCTTGGCAGTGTGTTCCCCATTAAGTACTGGTTAACTACCCATTAGCTCCTGATTCATTCCTGAGGTGTTCCCTAGTAGTTAAGCAAACTTTGTGTACCTTATTGTAAAGTGTTACCCAAAAGTCTGCACTGTGGAAACATTTAGAACTGCAGTGGACGCTGAAACAAGAAGCAAATAGTTTCTGACAGGAGGAGGAAACATAACCAAAGGAAACCAATGTTATTTTTCCTAAAACTACTCACACCACCCAGTTTGTATTTTTGCTTTTATAAATTGAAATACATAAATCCTTCAATTTACACAGTGTATTCCACAATCATATATTTAATCAGTAGATTAGATCCAGGCGTGTACAAACTCAGCCTCAAGTCTGACCAGTGTTTAAAAGTTTGCTCTGTAGCAATTACTGACATCTAGTTATTAAAGTGGAGATACTAAATATCAACTTGCTCATTATTTACCCACCCATGCATGGAGCAAACAAGGAAACTTCACACTGAAAGAGACAAGCAGAGATTCAGATCTTCTGGCTGTGAGGCAGCAACACTAATCAGTGACATCACTGAACAGATAAATTACCCGTTGCTCTTCTGTGCTGTAATTACAGCCTCTGAGTGTGTCCATGCATGGATGTTCACATGTAAAGCTGCAGTGAAACATTAACCTTTTAACCCCTTTCATTGTGATGCTATCTAAATAGCACAGCGTTCAACAGTGCAAGAAGGATTGGTCCCTTTAGGATCATACATCCCCATAGTATTTAAATCCAGGATGGTCAGTCCCCAACTTGTGCCTCTGTACAAGTACGGATCCCCCTATTGAATATACAACAATTATGAATCTTCGGCAGCATCAGAAATGTTCAGTGAAGATGCCATGATGCTCAGAAGGCTGAGCATCCCGCAGAGCAACTGGTCTTGCATCCTCAGCAGCTGGTCTTGGTGGAGTCACAGGGGTCTCCCATCCTCTGATCCAACGAAAGAGCTTCATGTATCTTCCTACCTTGACAACACAAGAATCGTGTCTGGATCAGATGTGATCACAGTTATATTGTCTGGGAATATGAATTATCTATCCAGCCTGAACGTCACATGACATTTCTGCGCCATCCACCTCTCTATTTTTGAACATGTGCTGAACGGTGCGCTGGCTCATCACAACCATTCTAACAATGCAGGCTTCCTTGACTTGAAATTAGTCTTTAGCCAGCTGGCACATTCTCTTTCATCAGGAAATGTACTGAGATCACGAAGTGTTTTAAAGTCCTGTTCCTCTTGATGTAACCATGTCCACCTACACACTGAATCATTACTTCTTTACAGTCGACTAAACCGGATCTGACCTCTGCTCTTCCTTCCCATTTTTACCCCCAGCTAATGGACAACAGTTTCTACATAACTTCACCTCTCTTTCCCAGGACACCATTTAAATATCTGACAGGCTACTGAAGACGTGTCCTTACCTTTGAATAAGGCAGTCTTTCTTAATCTACAAGGATGAGCATCCAAAAAAAAAGTACAAGTGTTCTGTTTAAAGACAGAGATGTTGTAAAAGAGCATTGGACAAGAGGATTCATGCCATGACGCCATGCTGGTAATTTGGCTGACCTGACTTATGCATGCTGTAATTTAGGATCTTTAATGTCTGCATATTCTTTGAAGTGTGTGGTTATATCTTTTAATAGGTTGTTTATGACCTTTCCCCGGCCTTTAAATAACATTTTAATCATTCGGATTAAAACTGCTCCTGGGAAAAACAGATCTTGTTTATTCCCTTGCCTTACAGATGGGATTCAGACTTAGGTGACATGTGGTTCAGCCTGACGCAGTTGAACGTTTGTTAGAAACCCATGTGCTCCTTCTACAACCTTTTGTCTAATGTAGTGAACACTCTCTGTTCAGTATGAACACTGACAGCAGGCCTTGTGTAGATCTCTGTAGTCCAACCTTACTGAGGCAATAAACACCTTTACGGCTTTAGAAAACAAACTTACGACCAATGATCATTGCTTTTATCCTTCTTTCAAACCTCAATGCTACTGTTTCAGAAATGACACTCAAGATGAAGCAACAGTCCTGTTTTACAACAAAAAACTAAATATTTTCTAAAAAAAAAAAAAAATAGAGCCAAATGAATGAGGTTTCCTCAGCTGATTTATAAATTGCATTTCAATATATCTGAGTTTGACACCTATATATATACATATAAAAAATGGATTGTATGCTTTCAATGCAATGGGCTACCCACTAATGACTGAACAAATTTAATGTCAGGAACCAGGTGGTGGCCAACAGTGACCTGGCCATCATAGATTAATCTCTGGCCACCCCACCACAATCATTTGAGGAAACTATACTTTTTAGCAATGCAAACACAAGAAAGCATATGTTCCTCAAATGATCGGGGTGGTTGGTTGACAGATGTGTGTATATATATATATATATATATATATATATAAATATATATATATGTATTTGAAGAACATTAAAGATAAAGACAGAACTTAGGAATAACACAAGATATAAAAAAAATTTAAATAAAAACATCATAGATAGATAGATAGATAGATAGATAGATAGATAGATAGATAG